ATCCCATATCTTCATTGTAGTTATTAGATATTCGGTTTATAAAACTTCCTATCTTTTGAAAACTGTCTCCAAAATTTCAGATCCACAAAATGTGTCATTGGTTGTTGCTATTAATCTCTGCTTTTGCCACATTGTGCTGTATATGCTTTTCTTAACAGAAAAGAGGGTAAAAGATGGGGAGAACATGATAATGGCAAACAAGGAGGATATTTTTATTTGTTTTGAGTGAAATACTCTTGAATGAAACATACGTGCCCTGAGAATATTCTCACTGAAAGTCATTCTCTATGGGCAGTGCTTTCCAAATCTAAATTACCGCATTCAGTGTTTAATGGTAGGTGCTATAGAAGTTGCTGAGATAGATACAAGAATTGAAAGTAGCGTTTGTTTTTTGGGTAAGGTGCTGGATTGAGATTTGGGTTCTAGGCATGGTTCTCCCCTTACTACTATGATCTTGGGCAAGTCACTTAATCATGCTGTGCCTCAAATCTCCATCTGCAATGAATTTGCGTGTCATCGTTGCGCAGGGACCATTATAATCTTCTCTGTATCATTCCAATTCTAGTATGTGCTGCCAAAGCATGAGTAATATAGTTCTTTTCTCCCACCCTTTGTCTTTCCTGTCTATTTAAACGTTGATCATGGGTTCTCCACTGGCAGGCCCCCTGCACCCACACAGTGCCCCATTTGTTTAATTAATTTGCTGTGTTGACCAAACTTGTTAAAACTGTTTATTTCTTGTTTTGTTTGATAGAAAGTATTGTATATGTGCATTATACATAATCACGCTTGAAATGTCTCTCAAAAATGACAAGGTATGCCATGGAAAGCAGAGGCTGAAAGCTTGATGTTTGTTAGTTTTCTCCATTGAGGAATATTATGATATAGATGTTTATGGATAATGATTAAATCTTATTGATTACATTCACATGTGTAGCATTCTACATAAATGGCTAAAATATGCAAGTTTATAGTCCACCGTAACTTTATATAACAGCTTTGTATAGACTTGTAGCACTTGATGGGGGCACAACTGGAAAACATCCTGGGTGGACTCAAACCAAAAGAGGCATCCACTCTGTGATCAGAATCCACTACATTAGCAACATATGTTCTTATGGTTTATCCTTACATTGTCCTAGCATCTACTTCTCTGAGATTTTAATACCTAATACAATAACAGAGTACCATCAATATGTTCCTAATAGCAGATATAAAGTATCTGGTAGTAGTCCATCTCTCATAAAACTGCCTTTACCCTTAATTCAAATTAATTGATTCCTATTCCAGTTAAACCTGAAGAACTTAATATGTCTTTTAATCCTTTTATTGTAAGCTAAGATAAAATTAATTTTACCCTAGAACTCTGCAAAGCCAATTAACATGATCTTTAGAGTTATTTAGTAAAGTGCTTCAAACTGTTAAATTTATCCTGACCTCGTGGTTGCACTCTGACTGCTTTTTAAATGAAGTAATCAATATCTCACAGCCCTTTAAACAGTTTAAACTTCTAAAATATTTTACTCATATTTTTATTTAAACAGTTTAGAAAAATATTTACTCATTAAGGTATCTGTAGAGACAATGGTTAACTACTGGCTTTGTTTTAGTATTAAAGAGATTTTATGCTTTGAAATATATTTTAATATATGTGTTCATTTTGCTAAATCTGAGCAAATGAAGAAATCTGTCACTTCTATTTGTGTGTAATACAGAAAGTGTGTTATCTATATGGTTTAAAATGTAGAACATTTTCTCCTTTCACCGGTGTAGCTTCTTTTTTCCATGTAGAGCTATTTGAGGTTATTAATTTTCTTACTGTGATAGGGTGATCAACCGTCCTGTCAAGAAAATGGATCTCTGTGTCACCCTTTAGCATGATTAAATGGAGGCACGTCGCTGTGAGAAAATACCAAATTTTCATGAGACAAATGCAACTGTAGAAAGGACTATTTTTATAGACATTTCATTTTAAAATCTCCCATTTGGCTGTCAGTTTATTTGTAGGCAATCATTACAATTAATTGTGTGTTCCTACTAATAATTCAAAGAAAGTAAGGGCAAAAACAAGTGCTCACTCAGATTTTTTTTTCCCTTTGAAGGAGGATAAAAAATACAATGATGAGAGAGAAGGAGCAATTTATGTTGGTACAATGAGTTGCTAATGAGACTGTCAGAACTACATTACCTTCACCCTGTTTTGGTCACAGCATTTACTGCTTTGTTAACAAAGAGTCAGATTCTTACAATCTAGAGACTCTTGAGAAGTACAGTTGTAAGAATTGCTGAGATTTAAACTCCTATATGCTTAATATACAGACCATGAGTGGCAGTGTCAGACAGTGAATTTTCATCTGTAAATTGTGAGATAAATGCATAATAGCCTACTTTTTAGAATATAATTAAAATATCTGGCAATAGGGCGATTGATAGTTTAACTTTAACTTCAGAATTCTGGCATTATGGGACACGCACCTGTTAATGGGTTACTTGTTAGTTTAGGGGTGAAATTTGACAGATTTATTGGACGTGGCTTATGATTTTAAGGATCTTGTTTTAAAATACACCCTTTACGGTACAATAAAGGGTTAATTCAATATTATTGTAATCAAACAGAAGGAAGAACAACAAGGTGGGGGCAGGAATTCACCAAGTGCCTCTGTTGTTTAATTTCCTACTGGAAGCAGCACATGTGTTTTTTCTTTCTTTCTTTTCTTTTCTTTTAGCAGTGGCCATTGCAGAGGCTGAGCGGCTGGGGTCAATGCCTTGCCTATTGATCAGTATCCCTGCAGTCCCCTGCTCCAGCATCTGCTTCATTGGCTTCTTTCAGTGCCTGCTTCAGTACATTAGAATAGAAATCCATAACCAGAGCTGTGCTCATCCAAGCAGGGGAAGAAACTAAATTAAATGGTATAAAACAATCTTGGATCAGGAGTTTGTGCCAATTCATCTTGATCTAAGATGTCACACCGGGCTCTCTGTCTGAGCACCTGGGCTAGAGGCGGCCATAGTGAAAATAGATGGAGCCGCGATCATTCATTTGTCAGCTAAGGAGCTCGGCAGCGGTTAGCAATTCCCTTCTGCAGAGGTCAGCTGACAGAACAATCAGTGCAACTGCAGAATAGAGCTTTCCTTTGAACTATTGTTATGGAGCATGCTTCTTGCTGGGGCTGGGGGAGGGGAGCATGGTTTGCTTCATGTTCCAAGTATGCTATATAAAACACAT